AAAGTCTTATTTGTGCATTTTTGTTTCTATTGAAGTTCAACCAGCTCGTCATGATCTCGATTTCCTCCTTAATCATCAAAATTGTGTGAACTTCAATCAGATTTTTATATTCCAGATTAAATTAGTTTTGTTCTGACTGAGGGAAAATATTTGTCTCATTAACTCCGAACAAATAAAAAGTATAATTTTTCCAATCGATATTTTGTTCCATCCATTTCACAAGTTAAAGCATACCTGTTAAGTATACATCGCTACTGTTAGTGCTAAAGGTGGCATTTCGTAATATGCAACAGATATAGGCAGTCTGGTTCTGTGGAAAATAAAATATGAAATTACACCAATAAATCATAAAAAAATAATTAGTTTTCAGACTCTCTCTCCTACTCACACTCGATTATTACATACGACCTTTTGCACTAACAGAAGCTTTATACACCTTTAGTATGTACTGGGATTTTTTTTTTTAAATCACAATTCATCAAATATGCAATTTCCAAATGCGGAACTCTTCCGCATTTTAGTATTCGCTGATAAATAAAATTGATCGACCCGCGAATGTTAAGAGATTGCTGTATTTCCGACAGCTTCTCTCGGAAATTGATTTTATTCTCATAAATATAATTATTCTTCAGCCAAAAAAAAAAAAAACGATTAGAAAGCTATACTGACCTTACTTGGCAGACGTTTTTTTTTGGACGAATTCAATTAAAAATACTTAACAAGGTATCAAACCACTTTAGTAACAATTTTCAAATATTTCACTAATAATTGAAATGTTTTTAGTATATGTATGTATGTATATATATATATATATATATATATATATATATATATATATATATATATATATATATATATATTATATATATATATATATATATAATTAAAAACCAATCAAACTCCAAAAAAATAAAATAAACTCCATAAAACAATAAAACCATGATGTAAAACATAATATTTATTCGTAGAACATAACATACTTGTGAACACATACGAATTAGTACGGGAATGAAATTAATAATAATGTTTCTCTAATAGTAGTACTTCATTATTACTTTCACTTACCTATACTTGGAATATATAGTAAGGGAAAGTATTGCGAACGTGAAAATTTTATAATTTCAGTTTTCATGGGGAAATACATGTTTTTAAAGCCTAGATCAAAAATGAAAAGTCGTACGAAAGTTAATTTGCGTATTTGAGGTTTGTATTTGGTTCCATGCAACAGCGTCTTTTTCCTTAAAATTGGCTAACCGAAGTACCACACTTTATATCGATGGTGATACACATCTTTACGATTTTCTCGAAAATGGCTTTAATGAATTTGATTAAACTGATCCACATTGATGTCGCTTTACAGCGCTTAAATGCCCAATGTTCATATACCTCTTCCTCTAAAGTACCTTTTATTTGGTTTATTTTAAAAAAATAACTCTCTCTTATTGAGAGCAACTATAAAAAATGGCTAAATATGAATGAAAGAATATGACAATTGAAAACTGGAGAAAAGAAGAAAAATGTTTATCCAGGTAGAAAATGAATTCCCGGAAATAATAGTCAGGAGATATAGGTATGTTTTTTTGTACCTATATAAAAAAATTATAGTGTATAGATATAATATATGGTGGGAAAGCAGAGAATTTTAGAAAAAAATATAAATTATAATTTCAGAAAACATTATTTAATGCAAATCACATGTTTCCAAGGAAATCAAATGAAATGTTCTTACTAAATGTAAACTTCTTCTTTTTATTTTTGTCTTCATATTTCCATCTACACCTGTCATGAGCTTGACAATAAGCAATAACTTTTAAATTTGTTGTAAGTTTGAAAAAAAAGTATTTAAAATCTACTGAATCAAGCCAATACCATTGTTTAAAATACTATTTCATTTTACTTGTGTAACTGAAGAAGTGAAATATAAAAATATTTCAGGAATATGTTTATAACTTTCAATACATTAACTGTACTTTAATATAATAACTCTAGATATGATATATTTAAATAATTAGGTATCTATTGACCACTTATTACAAAAACCATCAAGTAATCTTTTAGAAAATTAAATTAGTGATAATAACAGATTTACTTTCAAATTTCTCTAGGAATATATGAGCCTTTCGGTAGACAGAATGAATAACTCCAATTTCAACATTCTTTATTAGTAATTTTATACTTTTATTCACAGTTCTATATTTCAACATTGCAATCACCTACTCTGGAATCAACTTATTTACTCACTGTCTGTATAGATGCAACTTTTTGAACTAGAAATATCACTAACATGACATTACTCAAAAATGTTGAAATTGGAGTTACTCATTCTGTCAACTAAAAGCTCAGAGACTGAAGTTGTGTGGTATATAAAAGCAGATGGAGTGACTAGATTTTTATTGCATGCTGTAGATATAATACATAGACTTTTTGTAATTTTAATGGTCTTAATAATTTGTTATCCGAAAGCTATAAACTTTAGCTCCTTTTAAAATGCATTTCAAAAATTTTATAATAGCCCAACATTGCCAGAAAATAATTTCTATTCAAAGTAGAGTGGTAAGTGAAAGTTGTGTATTGCGTGCACAAGATTTTTTATAATATTTCGGAGAATCTAGTTTGAAGCATTTTTACTTTCACATACCTATAGGTGTAATATATAGTAAGGGTAAGGATTGTAATCATGAAAATTTTCTAATCTGTGTTCTCAACGTTTGAGGTTCCCTGAGTCCAAATATCCATTAACAGGCTTTCATAGTAACATGAGCTTAATATATCAAACGTTCGTTAGTTAAATACATTAAAAAACATGAGTTGAGAGCAGAAAGAAATTATAGCAATCAAATCCAGGTTGTTTTATATACAAAAAGTTAACAAGTAAACTATTGCTTCTCACTATTTATACATTTTTATTGCTAGTGCCTTTTAAAGTTCTCAGTTCATATTCAACTATCAGATAATGCCAACAGCTTCATAAATTTAAGAAGAAAATGTTTATTTTTATTTAATGAATTATATATATATATATATATATATATATATATATATATATATATATATATTATATATTCCACTATTTATATTTTCTATATTAAACAAACATTATTTCTTATTACAGAATTGAACTTAGAATATGAATCTCTGGTAAGATTTCAGTTCATCCCAATCTCTTTAATGTTCTTTTGCCTGACTATTGGTAAAGTTGAAGATTAATACCATATGTTGATAGAAAATTTCTTATATAAATGATCTTTCCAAATCCATCTACCACTGTTCATACCATTTACACGCCGATGACTCCCAAATCTACTTATCCTTTCACCCTTCTGAGCTATTAGTCGCGTTCGCTAATATTCAGGCAGACCTAGATAGGATCAGAGCCTGGGCAAGTCTGAATAATTTAAAGCCAAACACAATGAAAACTCAGACCATTATTATAGGTTCCAGTTCTTTTCTTAAATCCATCTCCTTCCTTCCTTCTTTAGTCATCAATGACCATCCCATCATATTTAGCTCCTCCATTAAAAACCTAAGAATCACCATTGACATAAACCTCTTCTGGAAATCCTATATCGCCCTCATCTCCCGAAAGTAAATAGGTACCCTTAAGTTATTTCATCGCTCCCGCCACCTACTCCCACAACCCATCCTCAAGCTAGCTCCTTGTATCCTCTCTTATTTTCCCCCACTTTGACTACGGCTGTGTGGTGTACGGAGGCATCCCGATGGTACTCGAGGATAGATTGAAGCAACTCATGAATTCCTGCTTAAAATTTGTCTTCGGTACTTCGAGGCAGTCTCATGTGTCCCACCTTTACGAGTTAAAGTGGCTCTTCCCTTCTTTCCGCAGATAATATTTCCTTGGACCTTTCCTATTCCAAAAAATCAAGACCCGTCACCCTTCCTACATCTACAGTCTCCTACAGTTCAAACCCATGGTCTACTACCAGAAAACAAGATCCCGTGTTTCCGACCTTTGTATCCCTTCCCATAGAACTAAGACATTTTAATATTTCTTTATTGCCCGATCCACTGCCTTCTGGAATTCCTTGTCATCTGATATCCGCCATGCCTCTTCCTTGTCCTCATTCAAATATCATCTCTACCAATTTCTTCTCATATCCCAAAATGAAGTTGTACAATAAAATAAAATTGTGAAACAGATTTGGACTGAGGTAAATGATTGTTAAAATTGTTTGAGTTTTAATTTTAAAAATCAAACCCATGTTTATATTATTTTTTACCTGATTTCTGTTTTTCTTTTTATTTAAATGTTTGTTTTTTTTCAAAATGGTGTTACTTTTTATTTGTTTTAATATAATTTCACTGAAGATACTGCACATATTCTTTAATGTTGATTAATGTAACTTTTGGGCAGATGTGGTTTTTATTTTGTTTTGGGTGTTTTTATATTGTCAATATTTAATTACTGTTTAAATACTTAAGATATTTGAATATCTTAGATAATTTTTTGTGGAAGAAATTATATAAGATATTCAATGACTTAGATTTTATTGCAAACCACAGACATAAAATTCAAGTTCTTTATCAGTTCAGTCATTATTTTGATTACACACTATTTAAAAGTTACTGAGAACAAGTTCTTTAACTAATATGAATCAGTTTAGCCAATTTTATTATGTGTATATTTTCCTTTATTTTCAAAAACCTAAGTAGAGATTTTAAAGTACCTCCCTTATATTATGTTTACAAATAAATTGAATAAAGAACAGACCCCTAGAAATGGAAATGAGTTAAAATCAATCAGAAAAACAAATAATCCACATAAAATTTTAGAGAGTTCGATAAGAAACAACTGGCAGGAATATTGTGTCACTCCCTAAGGTACTGCGGCAGTTCATTCTTGTTAAATAAAAACTTATTGATTTAAAAAAAAAATAAATGAAGTAAATTAATTAAAAAGAAATAAAAGAAAAGAAAATAGAACATTCTGACAAAAAGAAATAAAAGGAATAATAAAATAAAATAAAACAAATATACGTGTACATATGTATATATTTCCTACATATGGAAATTTATTTCACCATAAAAACATACAAGATAAATTTATATATATATTATGAGTGAATAATATATAGGAGTATATTAAGGTTTTAATAATAATAAATTACTATCTATAACCATGAAAGGATGACTGCTATTACTGAAGTCAGGAATTAGATTTGATAGTAATTGGGAAGAGATTATTTTGTTCACAGTCTTTTGATGTGTGTTGCTAAATTAATGACTAAAATTAAAAACAAACATATCTATAACAAACCAATTATTGAGTTCATCAAAGGCAAGGGAAAAGTGTCCTTCTAAAAAGCAGACTAGAATGCCAGAATATGTTAGTTTAATGATCAACTAAAAAAATTATCTCTTATGATAAAACTAGTCGCAGAAGGTAACAATACATTAAAAACAATTAAAACTTTGATTATAAAAATAAATAACTTGAGGATGCATTATGTTATATTATATATATATATATATTAATTTTGTACTTTGTATTATTTTGTTTATTTTCTTTCTAATAGGAAATAAACTATTATTATTTGAGGAGTCCACTAATTAAATTACACATCATCTACAACAAATGTTCTTATAGTTAAAAGATAAAAGTCTTATAAACGAAAATGTCAAATTGGCAATACTTTAGAATACTGGTTCCTTAATATCCAACAACACACCAAAACTTCAACTTCTTCATTAAAAAGAGGCTCTAAACAGCTATGCAAAAAGATTTAATTTGTTGCTAAGATAAACCTGTCTAATCCCCTCTGAGCCATGAGTATTTAAATTTTAACTTTCTATTGTGTATCACTTATATCATATTTACTCCTCAATTAAATTTTATCTAATTGCCGGTGACAATGGTTAAGGATTCTTGTTTTTAAGGATGTAATAATTGCCAAAACTGTTTTTATTAAAAATAAATTTAAGCACAATTGTTAACCTCTGCATAGAGAGACTCCATCTAGGATTCATGTTTTGAATTTTTTTTTTCTTTTTTGTGATACATTTAAACCTATAAAAGTGAACAGAAGTTAAATAATGGAAAAGTATTTATATTAATTGAGTTATTTACATCACCCACCGACAGGCCCAAGCTCAATTACAGAAGGTAAGGATGAATCAATCTAGTATTTACAAATTATATATGTACAGTATATACATATGTACTATATATGAATATAGTACATATACATATACTATACATTGAATATATAATAATTATAATAGTACAATTAATTATACTTTTTTTTATGTAGCTTTGTGCAAATCAGAGTTATTGGTGTGTTGTGGATCAAGATTGGCAATCAAGAATATTTGTAATGTTCCTACTTTACTATTGAATTCCTATATTGATGATTTTATTAATAACAATTATAGAAATTTACTATTGTAGCTTTAATAATTAGATTATGCTTATTGCAGATGACTGTCATCTAGTACAATAAAACATTAGAAGAAAACTATTGTATTTGGTTTAATCAAATAATATGAAGTAGAAAAAGACACTCTGGATGTTTTAAGGACTCAAATCGAGCAAGGGTGTCACAAGCTATTAAAATTATTACAATGCTCTCACTAGATATAAAAATAATTCTCTACTCATGCTATGATTTAGAAAAATAATTCTAAATTCAACGTATAATTTATCTTTATTACAGGCATATAAAGGGCTGCTCCCCATAGCTTTCATGACTTCATCGTATAACGTTTATTATGAGTTACATTTGAAGGTTGTTATAATTTTTCTATTCAGCTTTTATATTATCAGAGGTCATGAGGATATGTCTCTTAAGGACAAAATATACAAGACAATAACAATAACCAACCGATAAACAGGCTGGTTTTAGACATCTTTCATATCTGCATCAATATCAACTCTGCAGATTGGGCAACGTTTGTTCGATGATAGCCACTGATCAACACACTCCACGTGAAACAAGTGCATACATGGCAATCTCCTGTAATAAATAGATCAATAGTTTATTATTTACAATTTTTTTTTTCAAAGATAAATTAATACAAATGATGATGTAGCTGAAGTAACTCAAATCTAAGTTTCTAAAAAAATTATTTTCTTTTAATCAGTTAATAGGAAAATGATTCAATGACCAAAATAAGAAAAACATTTTCAATCATGCATCCCAACCTCCACTACAATCTGGTTGTGAATATAAAATGATTCATATTTAACCATTGCTATTTGTAAATAAATAAAACATAAATGAACAAAACCAAAACAGGTCCTATCAAGTACACTAGTAAAAATTCAATTTTAAATCCTGAAAAGTCAATTAATATATTAAAAAAAAATTAATTGAAAATACATTTTTTTTTATTTAAGACATCAACGGAAAATAAAATAAATATTGAATATATAGTGAAATGGTCTGTACAGGTAGAATCAACCAAAAAGAAGTTCAGTACCAGGTTTTGGAAAAATATTCCTCTTATAGACATAGACTCTGCTTCATGTATAGTATATAAATTTATATTGACTTTGACTATACAAAAGAATTTCAATGTTTTACTTTTTAAGGGATCATCACTTACATGTGCTTTCCAAAATTGAGACAGATCAATACACCTAACCAACCCATTAATGTTATACTACCATTTTCCCACTTTACAATATTACATTTTGCCTAATTCAAGAAACATCAAGTAGTTTACAATACATTGTACGATACTTATTAAAACATTTTTTAAGGTTTTCTATAAATATATTTCTATGAGTTACGAACCACCAAAATGTTTTTTGTTTAGCCTTAATAAATGGTCTATCTAAAGCAACAGGAATTTTTCAAATCAATCTGGTTAGTTACTAAAATTAACCCCTTTAAGTAAGGTTGATTTTTTTTTTTCTTTTCTTTTATTTTCTTTATAGAATGAAAAATATAATGAATTAAGTTTTAATAAACTAAATTAAATTTAAGATTTAGAAGAAAAAATACCTTAATTCAATAGACTTTCAATATCTCAATTTTTTGGCAATAAGAACAATTTTTCTTATCACATAAAAAAATCTTGCAGAGTTGAAAAAAAAAAAATGTGGTGAGATGCGCATATCACACAACTGTCACTTACCACTATACATTGAGTAGAAATAGGATAAAATACAAATTATAGATGGTGCAAATGAGTGTTATACAAAAATACAAATGAGTGAGATGAACTCATTACCAGATATTTTTCCTACATGTCCAATCCATTAAATTTATTCACTTTTCGTCACTGTATATTACCTTCTACCATTATATTTTTATTATTTATCTAATAATAACAACAATGCTACCATTTTTTTTTTAGTCCTACAAGTGTTAGTGATAAATGAGCCCGCTGAATTTATTTATATTTTATCGCGGATGTTCTTAATTGTTTAGATATTGGTATTTATACAAATTTTACTTTTATTATTGCCGTAACCTTAATAATTAATACAATTTATGAAAATCGCATACGTTTATGTATATAGTATTATTGGAGCCCCAACGTTTCTCATCTAGGATATAGCATATTAAGCATGTGTTAAGGAATGCATCGTTTCTTGTGGGCAATGGTTGGGAACATTTGGAGAACATTCTAACCTACCCGCCAACCCCGACTTTACTCAGGTTTTTTATTCTGTGGTCAGTCTCTCCATTATCTCTATATTCTCATCAGTTTTATAAAATATGTAAGAAAATCTGACCCTTGTAACACTTAAATAACTCAATTTAGAGTCGTTTGTTTGTACACATAAGATAGCTACTATAATACATTGTCTTCTATTGATGCCTATTGTTTATGTCGAAATATTTAAAGAATTATATTCCAGATGCAGGATAGTATAAATTTGAAGAACAGTACACCCAAATAATTGAAAATCACTACTAATTTTTGACTAGCAAGAATTTTAAAATCATCCAATAATAAAAATTATTACACTATGGTATATTATTTTCAAATAGATAATCCTAACAATAAATAGAAAATTAATTGGATATTTGGATATATTTTTTTTCTTTTTTTTAATGTGATGGGATAATGACTCCAAAACATTTTGTATTTTTTCTCAACCTTCATAATAGTATTCATTCAAACCAGAGATGGGCATATTTTTATTCAAAAATATAAATACGAATATCATTTATATTTATGGCACTTTTGAATATAAATATGAATATTCAAAAAGAAGAATAAATACAGATGATACGTATTCGCAGCTGTAAATATAAATAAATTCACCACTTTAAAAGTGAATACGGCTGTGTTAACAGTTTTACAAGTGAATACGGCTGTATTTACAGTTTCACAAGTGAATACGGCTGTATTCACGCATATTAAAATGAATACGCTTAAATTTGCAGAAGTGAATGGAAATATTTTCACACAATCTTATAACTGAATACTCTTATTTATTAGATAAATATTAATTCATTTGTTACATTAGGTATTTTCCAAAATAAAACAAAAAAAGTATGCAAAACTTAAAATAAAGTTCTGAACCATAAGAGGTTTATTAAATAAATCTCTTAAAAAATATTGGAATAATGTTAAAAAGCTGATATTTGCTAGCTCGAAATGATGTGTACATAAAACGTTTGATTTTATTAAACCGTAAAATTATAATTATGAATATGATTATTTGAATTGATCTAATCAGAACAGATTTGAATATATGTGTATTATGTATAAGTATAAATATATATACATACATACACATTCACAAATGTTAAAAAAAATATTAATAATAAATAAAATGAAATAATATGCTAATAAAGTATGAAGTATTTTTAAAACTAAAGAAAAGTATCTATAATAAATTGTCTTTTAATTACTTTCTACAATTTATTTTTATTAAAAAATAAAAATGTAATACATTTTATTACATTAATTAATATATTTGGGACTTACTCTGGTAAATGTTATATTTTTAAATGCTTAAACATAATTAAAATAACATATAGTAAAACGAGGAATATATATAAAATAAAAATGATAAATATGGTAAATACCTTTTTTTTGTGGTTGTATTTGAAAATATATTAACAAACCAACTGAATATGTTTCATAGTTTCATCGTGAAAATTAAAGAATGTCGTTAATTAATCATATAATCTTAGGATATGTTGCTGCATATAATTATCAATGAATATTAACTTATATTTCTACAATAGGGACATAGAGTGTTGTAAAATAAATACGTTTATTTAAGCATTAGCTTAGTCATGTAGTCAACTTTCCCAATTTCCTTAATTGACTTTAGTTTATATAATTAGCAGCCTCCTAAGATTATGATGACATATACATAATTATAATTTTACGGTTTAATAAAATCAAACGTTTTATGTACACATCATTTCGAGTTAGCAAATATCAGCTTTTTAACATTATTCCAATATTTTTTAAGAGATTTATTTAATAAACCTCTTATTGTCCAGAACTTTATTTTAAGTTTCGCATACTTTTTTTTTTATTTTGAAAAATATCTAAAGTAACAAATAAATTAATATTTATTTAATAAATAAGAGTATTCATTCATAAGGTTGTGTGAATATATTTTCATTAACTTCTGTAAATTTAAGCCTATTCATTTTAATAAACGTAAATACAGCCGTATCCACTTTTACAGTAGTGAATACGGCCAGCCGTATTTATATTTACAGCTGTGAATAGGTATCATCTGTATTCATGTTTCTTTTTATGAATATGAATATATTCAATAGGGCCATAAATAAAATCAGTATTCGTATTTATATTTTTGAATATAAATATGTCCATCTCTGATTCAAACAATGAGACACTAAAATTTAAAGAGGTAATGATATGTCACTATTGGAAACATGTTTTCTGCTGCCGAAACAATCTTATTTGTTAGGGCAATGCCAAGAAGAATTCTTGAAGAACTCTTTTCGGAACACACTGTAAGTAGATGGTTCATGGAAACTTTTCAAACTTTATTAGTTAGTGACATCAGACATTCTATAAGCTTGAATTTTTATATTACTAATACATGCCATTATGTCTTATAACCATTAAACTACCTCCAACTTGCTCCATTATTTTATCGATACACTGAAGTATAGCAATTATTTAAATTTATTTGTAATTTTTAGTTTCCCAAATCCTTACGTTTTTTAAATTTCTTTATGGACTTTTCAAATGACTTCCATTTGTTCTTTAATAATAAAAAGAGGATCCCTCAACCATAATATAACAAAAAAAAGTTGTCGAACAAATGTGACCAACAAAAATTATAATGCCAGTCATCTAAAAAAACATTTCATCTAGACATAAAAGTGTGGCATAATTAGACAGAGGATTTAAGGGACCAGACAAAAAAATAAACGTTAACATAACTTCACAAGCCATGTAAGGTATAGCTATATCAAAATTATATATTAAAGAATTAACTTGAGTAATTAATAGAAATTTCAAGCAGAGCACCCATGAAGACAAAAATCAGAACAATATAGAGGAAAATGAATATCAGAAAATTTCACTAAGATGGCATATATAATCAAAACTTTAAGATGAAAGTTAAGATTTTTATCATCTCATACATTTTCACACAGTATCTCAAAAAATATAAATAAAAAAAGGTAGACCACCATTTCTTGACAAATACAAAATAATTTTAATTTTTGAGTTAATATAAGCAGATCTCGTTTAAACGAAGTAAAATAATTTTTAAAAAAATGAGAAAACTGAAAATCAAAAGTAAACACCTGTGGGCAAACATCACTATAAAATAAAATGAAAAAAAAATGATATATTAATATATCTTTGAATATTTCCATTATAATCATCTGATCTTCAGCCATTGAGATCGTAAATTTTCTGTTACCAAGAAGAAGAATGACAAGATTATAATAACTTTATAAAAATGTTTTGGTCGACCACTTTGGATAACTAAAATTGTATTAACTAATTTTTCAAATTTTCACAAAAATATTGAGACATTTTCAGTTTATTTACCTACTTTCCTTACTTTTTCTAAGCACAATATTTCTATAAGCACATGCCAGAATCTTTAAGAAGGAATTCCAATCTGACTTACATTTTTAGATGCCTAGGCAAAAAGCCTTTAAACTAAAACTAATTAAATGACTTGACTAGAACCTCATTTTCTCACATTTTAGATGATTATTTGTATAAATCAAATAACATCAAAATTGTCTGTATTCGTTTTCCTCAATATTTATCATTCTATTATCAAATAAATGTAACTGCATAAATATTACACAGATTGGTTCAAAATAATCCTTATTATGCATTTATTATACTACATACGTTTATACCCACGGATAAACCTGTTCATCAATTACTAACATAGTACTAAAATATTCATAGCACACAAACTAAAAGACTTCCTCAGACCAATTGCAAAGTTATAAAATAAAATAAATTTTTCTATTGCAATTCATTCAATCTAACTTTTAATAAAATAAAATATTAAAAAATAAAACAAAATAGTTTTGAATAATAATTTCAAAGCAACATTCAATATCTATAATAACATAAAAGTAAACTTGCCTGACATCCTCGAAATCTTCGAATTCAGAAAGACAGATGGTACATTTTTCAGTATTATCTTCTAAATCATCTGTATCTTTTTTCATCTGAAATATCAATTGAGATGATCATAAATTATGCTTTAATAACCACTAAAAATCACCAGTGTATTTTTAATCATCAAGAATATTATAACAACAATTATAAAAATACTTCAATATAAATCAATAATTATAGCTTAACTTAAGTGTATAATTGTTCTTTTGTTCACATTAGCTGATTAATACAACTTATATTTTATCCTGATTATATACCAAATGATTTTTCAAATTAATTGATTCCTTAAATTGAGGATAACAATTAAAACTAATTAACTTACACGCTTGTACTTATGAGGGAATGTATATCTCTCAATTGTATGCTGAGAAGCCCCTCTATTGACAGTACTGACAACTCTTCGAGACTCAAGGAACCTCATGTAATCCTCTAGCCGGTATGCCATGTGGCGTGTCAGGATTGGAAATGGAACCAGTTCAGGAGTGACTACTGGAGGTCCAGGAAGCATCATCTCTTGCCCTCTCCCGACAGTGCTACCACCCTGTACAATAAAGGTTAATCAAACAAAACTGTCTTCATAACAAAAATTATGTATAAAAAGCATTTTACATAGTCATATAAAATGAGAAGGTTCAGTTGATTCAGTAATCATTGGGATAATTAGAAATTATTACCATCTAACCATGTATAAGAAACACTTCCCAATAAACATTAATTTTAAATACAGTAGAATCCTGATAATTTGTATGGACTTTCCAGTCCCTTGAGATTCTCCCTCCTCCAATCAACATGGGTAAAATAATAGAACATTTTATGAATATTTCTGATCTTCTCCTACTAAACACTGAGAAACCAACATTCCTCAGCTCTAGCTATGGCACTAATTCAGCACTTGACCTTTCTATCAATAATTCCGCCCTTTGCAACGTTATAGACTCGACTGTTTTACCCAATTTAAACTATAGCGACTACTTCCCTATACTTATCAAATTCACAAATATGAACTCCACACACAGTAATCGTAGATGGGTACTAAACAGAGCAGATTGGTCAATTTTTGGTTCCTTGGCCTCACCACTACACCTCAAAACTCTCCATCCGAAGTAGATATAGACAAGGGTTGTGAAATCATTATTAAAACAATCGTGCAAGCAACTAAAGTATCGAAAAGACCACTTATCGATATATTTTATCTGGGTGCTGGGCCAGGTGGGAATTGCTGGAAATGAGCTCGCAGACGCGGCAGCCAAACAAGCACTCACCATTCCAGGCCGGGACGCTGCTATTTTATCACCACGTGGCACAAACCTTTCCCTCAAAAAAGAAATAGCTCTTAGCTTGCAATCCATGTGGAACAAGAGCTCTGAGCCCATTGAAGAAAATAAAAAAATCAGTAAAATCATTGTCCACCACAAACTGACCTGCTCTTAGAGAGGAGGTTGCCTTGGCGAAACTAAGAATAGGACATACAAACCTGACACATTATTATCTGAAAAATAAACAGCCAAAACTGCTACAATACTCTCACAGTCAGCCACATTTTCGATGAGTGTTCCTATTAAGTATCAATCTTAGCCAAATTAGGACTCATACCAAAACTATCAGATATTTTACATAATGATGAAGTTAAAGTAAGGTCGGTGATAAATTTTCTTAAAGTTAATGATTTGTTAAAAAAATATAAATTTGACTGTTTTTTTTCTCTACCAAAAAAATAATTTAGCATTGAGGCAATTGAAATAAAGAACAGATAAGCGTTGATGACCTCAAGGTTTTACGCCAATAAGCTCTAAACAACAACAACTGCAAAATCACCTTGATTTTAAATTGATATAATGAGTTTAACCAAAATAGTTGGAGCAGTTTTCAAGAATATTATAAAAATAAGAAAATTTGATGATATGAAATGTCACTTTTGGTTAGTCGATCTTGGATAAAGGCCTTCCTAAAATATATGATTTTCGTACTATTAGTTTTTTAGCTAGGCTGTTCACATGCACACGCACGCGTACACGCACAGACCATTTTCTAAACTATTTTTTTTTTAATCAGTGAATCTTATAAGTTGAGTTTCTGTTGAAAACTCAAATTCAAAATTTTTCATGATCACAATACTTTTTCTTATCATATACTTCATGAATGCATAAGTAAAAAAAAAAAATAAGCATGTGCTGGGAGAAGAGAACTGATGGGACATACCTAGTGGAAGGTTTTTTTTTTTTTTTTTTAAGCAACAACTTCTTTAGGCATGTTTTCACTTTATTTGTGGAGGGTCAATTAGATTGAGGAGTTAAATTTCTGATGTGTAACGCACGGATAAAGTCGACTAATTGAAGTTTTTGCGCATATGGATTAAAATATCTCCAAAACTAAAAACTGGAGGACCTGCATATTGTAAGCGAGGAAATTGTTCAGAATCTCATTCTCTCTGTAATGAGCTATTGTTCAAAACTGTATCTTAACACAACGCAGTGTTAGAAAGGCGAAAAGGAAAAAATAGTGTTGAAAACCATATGGTAACGAGTTTTATTGAAGATATAGATTAAAATATCTCAGAAACAAAAATTGGACCTACATACTGTAAGCGAGGGAATTGCTCAGCATTTCATCCTCTGTAATGGGCTATTATTCAAAATTGTATTTTATTGTGATGCCGTGTTAGAGAGGTGGAAAGGGAGAAAATAGAATTGAAAACCAAACAATAACGAGTTTTATTGAAGACATGGATTAAAATCTCAGAAACTAAAAATCGGACCTATATACTGTAAGTGAGGGAATAGTTGAGCGTTTCATCCTCTTTGTAATGAGCTATTATTTATAATTTGTACTTCATATTATTAATCTCGCCTTGATGATGTTTTCTATTGTATGATCTAAAGCAGAATTTTTTAGGTTTTATTTTTTTTAGTTTCCTTGAAACTATACATAGCAAGAACAACTATACCAATCCATGTAATCAGACAAAAAAAAAAAAATAAATAAAATCTAAACATTTCTAACGACTAAAGTATAATTCCCAATTGTTTTTCACACACGAAAAATAAAGTCAAATTCCCGATAATAATAATAGCTTACCACAGCAGGTCCAGGTGCAATACTTATGTGCAAGTGAGCCATTCTTCCAGGTGGGTAATGGTGCACATAATGATGCACATGTTGGTGTGGTGTCTCACTAGAATAAAACATGAAATATATTAATATAAGGATGTTAAAATAATATCACTTATTAATTATACACAAAGATTTAAATTATTATTTTTTTCTCTAACTGAATAAAAGAGATGTGACTTTTATTATTTTTGAAATAAAAATCAATTTTTTATCAAAAATTTTAATATAAAAAAGTTATTTTTTTTCAGGTATTCTTGACACACAGGTCCATAATCAGATTATCGAAGGTACTTTTTATTTATGAAATCAATTATAAAACCATATGCTCAAATATAGATTTATTTTAACTTTCGAAATATCATTGATATTGAGGTTCATTATTGAATCATTGAAGACAATTTTTATAAAAATACCATTGATTTGAAGTTTGTGCACCCATGTATCGAATTATTTGAACTTTTCAGATTTCCTTGAAGTTATAATAAATTATTTAATTATGAGTAATATATCACCATATATAAAGCGTGAATAGTTTTTGAAGAGGCAAATTATACAATTAACCAGCACTTAGAACAGGAAATATTTTTTTTATTGATTGAGCATTACCCCAAATACATTTAATTAAAGAGATAATAAATATATTTTTATGAAATATCAGTTTAGGAGTTAATATATGTCAAAAATAGTTACACTCAAAGTGCAAGATGTTCTAATTTTACAAAAGGGAATTAAATAAATTACTTAGAGATTTAATTTTATAAAATGTTTCTTCATAACTTTTTGCAATAAATCAACAAAATACAGTTCAGAATAAATATATAAAAAAAAAAATGTAATAATAGGATTTTGGAGAATAAAGAAAATGTAAAATTGCTTTTCAGATAAACTATTAATTTTCTTACTTCTTGAATAACCTAGTCCGCTGCATGACTATTAAATACATTATCAAAGACTTTATCAGTTACTAACAATAAAAAGGCAATTTAAAGGATATCTAACAGAATTTACGTTATCATTAAAATATTATAATTTTAATAAATAATACATAAACCACATACGAATCCATGAAATAATGATGTTCTGAAAATAAACAAATTTGTTTTTAAAATATTCACTTACGTCGGGGGAGGGGGCGGTGGAATTTCCACAATATCTGTCCGTAACTGAGGATCACCGATAAGCATTGCCGCAGGCTGATGAACTTCTGGAGTCGAAAACACAGCAGGCTGCTGAGGAGGTAGAGCCCCATTACCTGGTGCACCAACGAAACCCATACTACCAGGCTGAGGTGCATAGTCCACCAACATTTCACGTTGCCGTAAGCTAAACGAATATTTCGATGATGATTAGGATATCATATATCTCAAAACAATAAAAAAAAATTTAATATATTAAGTTATTTTTCTTACCATCATCAATATAAAATAAATAATATTTAAAAATGACCTGTTCACATACACACATAAAGGCCATTCTGTGGACTAGATTATTTGGACACAAGAAACTCAACAGGCATATTTCCATAAAAACACGAATTTAAAATTTCCCAGTCACAATACTTCTCCTTGCTGTATATTTCAAACATAAGGTAAGAAAAAGTAAAATTGGAGAAAACCAGATGAAATTATTTTGTTTGTATTACATTAACATTTTAATATGTATGTAAACTTGGGAAAGGAAACAAGCCTGATGCAATAACATATTACTGATTGTATTAAACAAATTCAAATTTATTATTATAAATTTAGTTAGCCTACTTTACTGGGAGTAAAGCAGGTAAGTAGAGTAGCCCAACTAAATTTTTGCCATTAAAATTACTTTCGGAAAATTGATTTTTGGGAAAATAAGTTGCTGTACACATACTTTAACCCTTTGGCTGCGGACAGGATACATGTATTTCTGTTAAGAGTTGTGTCACTGGTGCGGCTGGGATACATGCCTTCCCGCCTGGGCGGTCGCCACTTAACAGGTAGGGGGGGCAAGTCCTGCCTTCACAATTTGACTTTTGGCTTGGTTGGTGTGCTCAATAGTCCCCTGTAGCTGAATCAGTGCGGTCATTCCGGATTCTGACCATTTAGAAGCTACCAATTGCAGATTTATTCTGAACCCAAGGTATGTTCTTTCTCTGTTATTTGTGTCATATCCATGATCTTATTTATATTCTATTTCAATGGTTTATACATAAAATAAATGTTAATATGTTAATTCTATAATTTTTTTTTTTTTTAATTTTGGTTTTGACTGAATCCTGATTTTGATACACTTGAATCTCAGTCAACTAAACAAATAAATGTAAAAATATACAAAAATTAAAATGTAAAAGTAAAAATTAATAAATGTAAAAATATACAAAATTAAAATGATACTTCACTTATTTTATTATTTTTCCATCCTCTAAAAACAATATATATATTTCATATAATATAAGTGTTTGAAACTCAAAATAAATGTAAGTGTAATAATAAAATTTATAACTGCACTATGTTTTAATATGGAACTATTTTAGACTAGAAAAATATTTGTAAATAGATAGAAATATATAATTCGAATCCCGCCGACGGTATCCTATTTTTATAAATAATATAATTTAATTTATATGATCATTACAATTATTTTAATGATAATTTTCAGTTATTATGCTTTTAAGAAACTAGTAAATACACAAGAAAGCAAAGTGTTGCAGGATTGCCGCTCTAATTTTGCAATGCTATATGCGGCAGGGAAGGCATATGTCCCATTTGTTATAAGTTGAATAAAAAGGTTAAAATGCATTTTTTGAAAGCTAAGATCTCGCAGAGTGACTTAAAATAGCATTTTAAACAAATTTATGTAAAAAAAAATATCAGTTTTCTGGATCTCTTTTTGGAATTCAGGATGCACCATCTAGTAGAAACAAGCGAATGAGCTCTCGCAACAAAGGGTTAAAGAAGTAATTTCTACTTCACATGACTTTTCATTTCTGAGCTAGGCTATTCACACACACCAATCCTAAGGCAAATCTTGGTTATTTGGATTCCAGGAGACCTAAAATCCTGAAGTTCCATCGAATACTCGGAGCCTAAATGTATCACTTATCGTAATACTTTCTTTACTATGAACTACATATGTAAGTAAGCAAAAGTAAAAACTAACTAAGTAAAGAAAGATTATTAGAGTAGCCATCAGTAACCTAAATCATTGTCGTCAATTAGATCAAACCACAAAAATATTTTTAAATAAATGTAAAAACTTACCTTTGAAAATGATGATCCAACCTCCTCCTATGCATTTCCTGCATCCGATGGTGTGATTGCCACATCCGTTGATGAACAGGATATAACCGAGGAGGAACTGTAAATTAATGAAATAAATTAAAAATATTTAAAATGTATCCTTTTTTTTTTACTTTGTTAACTAAAGCTCATTGAGAGGTACTGGACGAAATTCCTGGGCTTTGAGTCTAGATTTACTTAATTGCGTTAATATTCTCAAATCATAATCTTAAGTACAATTTAGACAGCTAATACACTGTTTTGGTTTCATGCACACTTTGTTTTCCATTGCTAACTCAAAGTTTAAATATACCATGTGCCATGAATGTGCGAATCATTCCTGATCTCATTTTTAATAAGTTTTTTAATTACATTTCCCCTCCAAAATGAGTGATAATAAGTAAACAACTTATCACATTTTATTTTACATAATAAGCTATATTATCACATATTATGAACTGCATTTTTTCTCCCATCACAAAAGCAGAAAACTAAGAAGTGATTTAAGAGGCCCGATTTCGGTTGGAACTAAAATGTTTCTGGATCCAATCTAAATATAAGTAGATCCCTAATATAAGTTGAATCCTCATTTTATAGTTGAAAATTTTATTAAAAACCATGACCTATTACTTGACCAGTTCACCAAAATAAGATAAATGGTATTGGGTATATGGATGCCATAAAGATTGGACTATAGACAGACTGACAAAAGATGACAGACATGTAATGCTATTTGTTCTTTGATGTCTATAACATAAAATTCAAATGAAAATTTTCTATCCAGAGGATGAAAATGTTTTCTCTTTCTGCATAAATACAATGCAACCCTTTCAGTAGCAAGGAATAAATACACAAATCCAACCAGTCACTTTTCGTTAAGGTTTTGGATATGTGATATACTATCCAGTGGATTTTGACATACTTTGACAAAAATCAAACTGAAATGCGTTTAAATATTGTCAATTCTGAGAAGAATAAAGCAGAATTCTTATCCTTGACACAGTGATCAGTATTCAACATTAATCATGGGGCTCTCTGGTTTTAAATAGTATTTTCTAATATTTGTTGTATATCTCAGGAGTACCTGGATGTCAGAACTAGTGATAACTGTTTCATAATGTTTACTGTAAAAACCTGCAAAAGAAATCCCATAATGAGCGAAATTGGTCTGGTCTTCTGTCAATCACTATGATGTATATTATTTTAGTCATTTCAAACCAACTTATAAGATGAAATATAAAATAATTATATGACAAACTAACTATAAAATAATTATATGACAGGAAACCATGGATCACTTTTCTCATAAAGCCAAAAGTCCCTCACTGTAGAAGTACTGAGATTTCTGAGCAAAAAAAAACTGAACCAAGTGATTTTCACAATCCTGTTTTGATACCAGAGCTTTATACCATGAAGAGAGCTCTGCAAAGACCGAAACAAATGAGTCAGACGGGGCAAGGTCCAGGTTAAACATTAGATGCATCAAAACTTCTCAGCCAAGCTCTTTAAATCTTGTCGGGTCAATAAAGATGTATGTGATCTAGTGATGTGATGGAAGACAAATACTTTCCTATTGATCAATTCGGAGAGTTTTTCTTGAATAGCCTACTTCAATCGCACTAGTCCTTCATAGTAAATTGAAGTGAATTGAGTTGAATAAATGTCTGGCCAGGTTCGAGCAGCTCATGATGAAGAATTTCTTTCCTATCCCACTAAACACTTAGCATCACCATCCATGGTGTCAATCCGGGTTTTGCCACTGTTTGTGAATCTTCTCTGAGCTTTGATCTTTTTCGTACATTATTGATCCACTTTTGATCACCCATGAACATTTGTTTTAAAAATGGCTTGATTTTGTTTGGTGTCAGTAGCGATTTGCAATTGTCCATTACATTTTTTTCTATTTAATTAATTAATAACACTGCCCTAAAAAAAACAATTTTTTTTTGCATGTATCTTCGATGAAAACTGTTTCTCTAGGTGTGAGGTTTTTGGTGTGAGAATCTCGAATTTTCTGTCAGAATCCTTATATTAGCTACCATTCTGCAGATCTTATACCCAGTATCAAATTCATAAAATTAAGTTATTGGAAGTTAAATGATCATTTTTTTAGGCTTTAAAAGTGCTTTATTATTTGTGAAATACTTTTACAACTTTCATCCCGAAATACTTGTGCTATGGTGTCTTGATCATCTGGGTGATGGAACATTTTGGCTAACAAACATTACTTCCCCACAAATGTAACAAAAGTTGTTAGGAACATTCACACACTTCCTGGGCATTGTAACTTCACAAAAACTACTGGGTTATCACGACAAAATCCTTGAAAGAATGCCTGAAACAAGAAAAATCACGTCTCGAGTACCTTGAAATGTAAACACTGCATACTTGTTTCAGCAAAATGGTTCTGTGTTCACATGTAGTTGTTTCCTGCGATTCACAGAGGGGAATCAATCCTACCAACCAAGAAGCAGAGAATTTCCACATATTACGCAAAAAGTAACTATATCTTTGAAATTAGAGCTAACAGATGATTTTTATGTGGAAATTCAAATTTCTCACATTAAAAAACATTGAACGAAGCTGTTTTCAAGTGAGATACAATATCAATCCAGAGCAGTGTAATTCATGTGAAACCCAAATATCGAGCTTCCTTTGGTATCCAACCTTATGTAAATGGTTCAAAACTGTTTTTTATTTTATGTTTAGTTCTGCAACGATGTCATGAGATACATGAAATACATCAGTCTACCTTGATTTTTTGAAGAATTTCATCAACTTTTCTAATGACTGGCCGTCCAGAACAAGGTTTAACATCAAAATTTTCTAAACAAAAGCAAACCACTTCTGACACTGGTGTTTGCTTAAGCACTGATCATCACAAAAATCATACAATTTTCGATGACTCTGTGATGCATTTTCATTTTTTGGAAGTGAAACAGCAAAATATGATGAAAATGACCTTCTGGAACCTGCATTTTTAAAGCACAATAACTGTTGACTGAGTAAATTAATGATGATATTTTTATATAGAGAATGTTCTATGGACTGCCACCTTTCAAACGCTCTATGAATGGCTTCATTTAATAAGGATTACAATCGATAAGTCACCTATTAAGATAAAACTAAATTACTTTTTTTTGCAATCCAATATTTTCATAGATCTCAGGTAAAGAACTTGCGTACTGTTAATTTGTCAACATTTTAAAAATAAAATGTAAATAATCACTAATCATGGAAAAAGAAAATTAAAAACAAAATGTTTACTTACGTATAGCTGTACTATGGTGAGGATACTGAATATGTATTGGTGGTGGTGGTGGTACGTGCCATGTTTGAGGTGGAGGTAAAGGAGGTGGAGGATGTATGCAAGGGGGAAGTTCCTGTAGCCGACAAGGTCTAAACCGTATCAATGGTGGAGGTCCACGAGGTAATGATGGTGCTTGAGGAATTACATCTGTCATTTCTTCATCTGACTCCTGCGTTAAGTCCACTACAGGTACCTATAAAAAATATTTTATTAGAAAACTTCTAATTCATTATATTGTATATTTTGAAAATGTTTGTAATTGTATCCCTTCAGAAGAAATGGTGGCTGGGCTATATTTCCCAAAAACCAATACCAAAAACGAAACCATTGGGCCCGAAATCAATGGAAAGAAGTGATCAATCAAGCAAAAAGAGCTGGATGGGAGAAGTTTGGTAAAATTCTGGCACAAGGTAAAGAAAGACCCTGAGAAGGAAAATAAGTAAGGCAGTGAAAAATGTCAAAGATCAAATGGCAAGATGATAACAGAAGAGGTAAAAAATTCTTGAGCAGTGGAGGAAGTTTTATCGACACTTCTCAGAAGGGCGTAATGACCCATGAGAACATGCTGCAGAAAATTATAGTCTGGAGAATTCCGATGCCATTGAGAAAGATGAGTGAGAGTATGCCCTCGAAACAATTAAAATAGGTAAAGCAGCAGGAAGAAACGGTAAAGCTCTAGAATTACTAAAATTAGGAGACCAAGAACTTACTAAATTTCTCCGGTTATTCTCCAAACAATATGGAATACAAAGATGATTCCAAGAGATCAGGAGTTCACAGTATCATTTCTTTATAAATAAGGAAGGTAGCTCCACCGATTGTGAAAATTAAAGGCCAATAAGCTTACTTTCAGTGGTTTACAAACTATACACCTCAATCCTGGAAAGGAGACTAATAGACCTGAAGCCAGATTAAATCGACCAAAAATCGGCCTGATTGCAGGCTAAGATTTGAATGTAAATTACGAAAGTGTATCTTATTCTGAGTAAACTGAACCTTGTCTGCCATTCCAGAGCCGCTGCTTTCCAAAATTGTGGCTGATTTAAAGTATATTAGGCCAGGAATTTAAGGATCGGAACAGGGAAATCTATTACGAAAAATGTGAGAAAAGTTTTCCTTTTTTTAACTTGTATATATGAGTTTAGACATACAAAAAGAAAATTGATAACGCAGGACACCATGGGAAAGGAAAGCTTTTTACAACCAAAAAAGTTAAGTTTTTTTTTTGTTTTTTCATCTATAACTCCTAAACGACCCATTTACTTTTTAACAAATTAAAGAACATTAAATTTTGCATCGAAGGAGTACCTAAACCTAATAATTTGGTAAGTGATAAAGTATAAAACCACGGTCAACCAAACTCTGATTTTTACCAAATTTGTCAAATTACTATAATTGGCCCTATACCTTCGGAATAAGTTCCTTAGTAAGAAAAAGCTATAGAATCAAAGTTCTAGAGCATTAAATTTTGTGTCTACAGAGTACCAACTATTTTAATGTAGGTCACTTACTCCGAATAAAATCTGAAATCTCCTGAGGCTTAGAAATTGGTAATGAAGGTGTAAGTGACTTTAATGTTTCAACAGTATAGGTGTCCATTCTACTTAGTTGTTTTTGTTCTGAGTGTGTTACATGCAGTATAAGCCTCTTATCCACCTTTCAGCAGCGAAGGATTTTGATAAACAATGTGTCGAAAAATACCAAATTTCATAAAGAAATAACAAATCCCGATTCAAGATATATGATTGGCCTATAATAAAATTTCAGTACTTGGTGGACGCAAAATCTGATGCTCTACAACTTTGATTGTATGCGTTTTCTTCTTAGGAAACTCATTTCCAAGTTACACAGAGCCATTTATAGTAATTTGTCTCAGTTTTTGACAAATTTGGTAAAAACCAGCATTGGTTGACCATGTTATCTTACTACGTAATCAAATTATTAAGTTTGTGTACTCATTAGACGCACAATATAATGTTCTGTAATTTATTGAAAAGTACTTTTCCTTTCCAATTCATCATTTAGGTGTTATAGGTGAAAAAAACCTGATTTTTTTATCTGTAAAATGTTTTCCCTTGGTGGCTCGCATTAGCAATTTTGATTTTTATATGCCTAAACCCATATATACAAGTAAAAAAAAATAAAAACTTCACACATTTAGGATTTCCAGCTTCGATCCTCAAGGTACTGGCCTAATATTCTTTAAATCAGCCACCATTTTGGAAAGCAGCAGCTCTGGAACGGCAGACAAGGTTCATTTTACTCAGAATAACATACACTTACGTAATTTACATTCAAACCTTTGCCTGCGATCAGGACAATTTTTGGGCCCTCGCTCCAGGGCTATAAGGCCCACAGTCTAGAATTAAATAGAAGAAGAACAAGCAGGCTTTTGTCCAGGGAGACTGACTTAAGATGCTTCATATTTTTTTTTTTTGGTCCTTCCCTTCCTCCCCGTTAAGGCTATACGGGATTTTCCCGGGCCAGGGTGTGTGAGCGGTGATTTAAAAGACTCCCCCGGCACCGGGACATGAACTCGTGACTATTTTTATATCTTTGATTCATATATCAGGTTGCCGGGCAACGGCGGTGCAGTGCACATGCTTTAGCCCATTCGGCCACCCCGCCCACTAAGACGCTTCATACTGAGAAGCATCACAGAGAAAGCTTCAGACAGAGATAAGAATATGTATATGGCATTCCTGGATCTTAAAGCAGCGTTCAACTACGTCCCCAAAAAAGAAATATGGGATCATTTGAAAGCAAAAAATTGTTCTAGAACATAGAACATAGCTATTAAAATGGTTTATCAGAAAATTGTGACGATCAATGGGAGGGATTCAAGAGTTTTCTCATAAAAAGAGGATTGAGGCAGGAAGACAGCCTTAGTCACCTCTTATTCATCAAATTTATTTGTGGAATTCGATTTGTAAGCACCATACTGCATGGACTGACATCGGTAAATGGAACATGAGGTATGTAATGATTTAAAACCTATTGTATGCCAATGACATCATACTGATAGCAGATATGAGAAACAAGCTACAACAGGCCCTTGTTGAATGGCAGGAAGAGCTGCTCTGCAAAGGAATGACCATCAACACCTCCAAAAGCAAGATCTTAGTTCTTTCAAGAGAGGAACAAGTGGATGCTTGGCTGACCTGTAAGGGTGAGATACATGAAGTTGTACAGAAATTTCCCTGTTTGGGGACAGTCATTAACAATATGGAGAAGACCCAGAAATGGTTAATAGGATTTCCAAAGCCAAACTGATTTATTAACCTATCTATAATCCCATAGTGGGATACAAGGAAGTTAGTTAAGAAACTAAAATGCACATTTACAAATCCGTGTATCAACCAATCCTGACTTACTGAAGTGAAAGTTGGGTTATGTTGGATAAGCAGGCTGGCATATTTAGCTGTTTAGGAAGTAAATGTTGTTGCTTCATTTTATTTTGAACTCATCAAATTTCCAAATATTCTAACAAATTATGGGCCCAGTTTAGACAAATTTACAAATATTTCAACAACTTATAGCCCCATTAAATACAAATTAAGATACTGAAATGGTTAGGAGATATTGTAAGGTAGTAAAGTAGTAACTATATCAACTGGAAATTTACAATAAGCCATAAAAATGCTTATTTATACATTTACCAAGCCTTAAGAAATATTTTTCCCTTCTTATACCAGAAACAGCAGATAATCCAATAAAAATAAATAAAAAAAAAAAAACCTTTAGAAATAAAATCCATGAAACTGCATCATAACTATTTTGAATACAAGACTAATTAAATGATATAGCCCTTTCGTCAAATCATACTTATGAAGACATAACAAATGAAATGAAATCATGAGCTTCTTAATTGCAATGCTCCTGATGATAGCTCAGCTGGGGTACTGGAGAAAGGGGCAGTTGAAGATTTAAAAAGACGAGAAGAGAGGAGGAAGTGCAAGCAGCCATCAAGAAATCGAGGGATAATAATAATGCATCTAGCTATGATGGCCGCAATCCAGAATTGTTTAAAAAAGGTTTCAAACTCACTAAAGCTCTGCAAGAGATTCTGATCTATGTTTGGGAGAAAGAAAGAATAACAGAAGCATGGTACCAACAGTGATCTGCCCAATCCATATGAATGAGGACAACCTTAAGTGAACCACAGTATTCTGTTGCTAACTGTTGTTTATAAAATTCTTTCCAACAATATATTCATGAGATTATCATTACATCATGTGCGATTATTGTCCCATGCAGAGAAGGCACTATTTTTTACCAATGTTGATTTCAAAAAGGAATGTCAACAATTGACCAAATCTTCACAGTGCAACAAATACTAGAAAAAGGTAAAGGGAGTATAAGCTGCAGACTCACCACTTGTTTATTGATTTTAAAAAACTCTTATGACTGAATCAATAGAGAGAACCTGGAGGCGATGAAAGAATGCAATAATACCATTAAACCTATAAGGCTATGTCAGGTTATGATGGAGGTATAAGTAAAGTACGGATTAAGGCAGAGTATTCAGAGGAATTCCTGGTCGGTGTTAAACAGGGAAATACATTGGCCTGTTTACTCTTTAATCTTGCCAAAGAGAAGATGGTCAGAAGCTCAAATATCCAGACCACCTACAATATTGAATCAAACAGGATTCCTAGGATTCCAATGACAGCTTAGTGCTAATAGTAAATAAAGGAAGTAAAAAATATCATCATTATGTATATATATTTATTAGATAATAAATTGTGTTTTTGTAAAAAGTAAAGTCTCTTTTTCTTTTTTGTTATTTATCATCTGAATGTTCATAAGTGGTGCCGAAACAAGGAACTTCAAATTCAGTTGTTTAAGTCGTTTTTCTTATTTATTAATTTTTTTTTTTTACATAACCAGAAATATAAAAGAGGATGCCGGAAGGAATAGTAAACCCGTCAGTTCTAACTGTACTACCGGTCACACCGTTAACTCCTCCGCCGAATGTTCCTCAGCTGTCGTCGGAAGCATTAACAGCAGAATTTCCCCATTGCCGATGGAAACATTAGCAGTGATGCACATGAATACTCTAAATCATTTTCTGAGTTAAATCACTTTCTTAAGGGTGGTAATCAAGTGATGTCACGTATACTAGCGAAGAAGGAGGAAAATCTGATAGATCCAAGGATGCTAACGAACTGAGAGCAGCCTTGGTATTTCGAG